AGTTCGTGATCATAATATATACACACTAATAATTTCAACCATCATATCATAATCTATTACTTGGATACTAATAGGGGTAAAGTTCAGATTCCTAACAAAATGCAATTAATATGAATCAAACTCTATGTATATATCAAAAACTCAATAAGTAAACTCTTAATTCATATTTTACTTTTACTTCTATATTATTCCCAAAATACATTTTTCTTTTGCATATTATTAAAAAAAAAAAGCTGTTTTTTTAATTTTAAAAGGAAGTGTTTTCTTAAAGTTTAACCAAATAGGTTATTACTAAATGTGAATATTGACAAAAAATTATCTACACTAGATATTCATAGTAAACCATATTAATTCAATGTATTTTGGAGTAAAATACCGTGGTTGTATTTTTATTGATACGTTGATTCTATTGTATTATATCTTTTAAATTCATCATTAGATAATCGATAATGATGAAAAAACTTCATTTTAGGTAATGTTCAAATAGTGTGATGGCGTCGTTACTTTAATTTTTTTTCTTCTTATTTTTATTTATTTATTATTTAATAATTATATTTAATCTTGTATTCTACCTTTCGTAGTACCTCTACCCCATATCTTACTTTATTGGGATGTTAACCATTCAAATTATGGATATGTGACATTGTGTAACGATGCAAAATGATACAATCTATCCGAACACTATATTCATTAAAACAAATTCAATACAATACAATATGAAACAATACGTAATAACAACCCAAATAATTGAATAAAGTGTAAGCGGATCCGAAAAAGGATAAAATAGATGCATATGTTACCTTACCACTGTCTATAAAATAGAGAGACTGTTTTCGAAAATATTTACTTAAAATCATATTTTAGGTAGTGACACATTATTTCCATTTGGTAAGAATTGATAGTTATTTAACGAATCTGAACTAAAATCCGTTTAACATACACAATCTGAGATCCGAACTAAATAGATAGAAATTACTGAGAACTGAGAGTAGATAAGCCGATTTCGCCGGCGCCGGAGAGCAGATTCACCGGCGAATCAAATTCCCCGTTGCTGTTAAGGTACAACTCTTGAATCTCTCCAAAAAAAAAACTTTTTTTTTACATTAGTTAACTCCTTGTTAAATTTCCAACAAGTTTAATTTCTTTGTTTCTAATTAACTCCTTAGAACTCGGCGATGTTGTATTAGTGTAAAGTAGGAGGGTTGCGATAGGTTGATGAGTAGTTTAACTAGAGGTGTATTCAGGATTTGAATTTTATGGGTTCGACATGAGGATTCTAAATGGATTGGGAATTGTAATTGTTTGTGCTTGTTTAGTGAAGTATTTAACACATATATAGAATATGAGCCAAAGTTATTGGGTTCACGTTCATAGGTTTCGGATGAACATGTAAGTAACAAACCCATAGTCTAATGATAGTCTTAACTATGATGAATTCTTTGAAAACATAGAGCAGAATGGAATTCGGGATACATATGACGTGTCCGAGCCAGTCTACATGGAGGCGAGTTCAGGGTTTGAATTTTATGGGTCGAGTTCAGGATTCTAAATGGGTTGGGAATCAATGATTTGTACTTATGTAGTGAAGTTTTTAACACATATATAGAGTTTGAGCCAAAGCGATTTGGTTCATGAGTTCAGATGAACCCATAACTAACAACCTCTAAGTCTAATTATAGTCTAACCACGATGAGTTCTTTGAATACATAGAGCGGAATGGATAAAAAGGTTGATTTAGCTTACCCCAACTAATTTGGGGTTGAGGGGTAAGTGATTTATTGATGATATTAGCCACCTTAGACTTTAAATGGTGAGCAAGAAGGATAAACTGTGATTAATTGTTTAGGCCATCAGTTGGACTCAGGGTGATACGTTTAGTAAATTGGGTCATGTTCACTCTTCCATGTGGCCTGTGTAAGCTTGTCTGCAAGATGGGAGATATTTCATTTCCTGCTAATAGTTAATTACTTTGTGTTGTCTGCCGTGTTCTTTTGGGATGAAGAGTTGATAGTGTGATGTGGTGAAGTGATGGAACACTTGGCAGTAATTTTGTAATTCCAGCTTGTGTATAACGTGTTTGTTTTTTTAGTAGCAATCTTGATATTTTTGCTTATTTTTCAAATTTTGTTTTTCCCGTTTGATTAGTGTTTATTGTCTGAGGCTCTGATTGCCGTAACTGTAACCGATGATGGTTGGAAGATGTCACTAAATTAAAAAAAGTGTAATTTAGGCGGTGTTGATTTGCATGTTGAACGTATTTACTTCAATGTTGCACTCAAATGTTGATGATTGTGTGGAGAAAGCTCGTTGGGTAATATAATATGCATAATTAACTGCAAATTATCTCAGATGGTTGTGAATATTAGCAGGAAGCTATCAAGGAAAGAGAAGAAAACAGAGATCAATTATGGTTTTCTCTATGGTGATGAGCTGTTCACCTAGTTTATGTCTTCCAAGGAGCCGCATGGTTATGCAGAAAACAATCCGGTGCTCTTCTTCTGTTTCGACAGCGTCTGAGTCCATCAAGTTTGATCTTAAGACCTATTGGACAACTCTAATTAGTGATATCAACCAGAAACTTGATGAGGCGGTTCCAGTTAAGTACCCAAATCAGATTTATGAGGCAATGCGCTACTCTGTCCTAGCCAAGGGTACCAAAAGGTCCCCACCCATCATGTGTGTCGCAGCATGTGAGCTTTTTGGTGGAAATCGGCTTGCTGCCTTTCCCACTGCCTGTGCCTTAGAGATGGTTAGTTCTTTCATCTTTATTCGCTTTGCTCCCCACCCCACGACACACACACGAAAAAAAAAAAAAAAAAAGAAGATAAAATTGATGTTGTTGGGGTGTTTACAAAGAAAATTGTCAAATGGAACTACTGAGAAACTATGTATATGGTTTGGTATGTGGATATTTTCCTTGTTGAATTTTACAGATGAAAACTTGTTCTTCCTTCTAATTTTCTGTTTGTATTGTTCATTTATTTGTTTTGGATTATAGAGGACACCACTGGTTGACCCTCATTTGTTTCTTAAGACTTTGTTCTGCTTGTTCCACTCGTTGTAGCCTTGGTAGAAAGGTGCAAACATTACTTAAGTTGATTGAGGATCTTTTGTTGGATAATAAACTGAAGGCAAAGCATCCACGTTGTAGGGTTAACCTTTAGTTTTTGTTATTCAGGACTCTCATAGCCTGCACAGCTGCACCGAATAACTTGAGTATCTTCTCCTTGCTTGTCTCCACAAATATATCCTTGAACCAATGCAGAAATTAAATTTGGCTGGGGTGTGGTGTCGGGTGTGTGGTTCTGGTAAATGAACTGCTTGATACTATTGCCTTCTGGCCTTTGAACTGCAGCAGTCGTGTATATATATATAACCTTTTTAAATTAAGCTTCTATGATCTAATGCTTGAGCTTTCCCACCCGAACCATTTTACTTTTGTATTAGCCATGCTTATCCAGTTTAAGGAAAAAAGAGTTTTGAAAAGCAGAAATATAACATTTTGACTTTTTGTTTTTTGATTACGGTGGTATCTTAGATCAGTTTGTATGCACCTCAACTAATCCATTGGGTACCTGGTAAATTCTACAAGAACAAATATCAGGTAACTCAGCCACTAAAGCTAGACATGTGGAAAGAAACACCTAGTGACACCTCTGTTTGGGATTCATACCTTGGTCTCCAAGGCTATTTCATGTTTTCGACCGCTTGGTCAATTTCTTAGAGTTTGAAATATTATTAGATCAAGTTCAGATGTTTGTCTTTTTTTTGGCTTTTTGGTGCAAAGTGAGCAACACCAGTGATGTAAAGAAGTATAGTGAACTTCATCTGCCTTGTAGAGTAGAAGGTGCCGACGTTTCTTGCAACTGTTGTTTCTGCACAATCTTTCTGTACTCAGGTTCAATGAGGTCTATTTTGACTTATCAAAGAAAAAAAAGGATGCGTTTATTTTTGTTCTATTCATGATAAAACTTGACCAAATTCTTGAGGCAACTAAACATGCAACAGTAGGTAGGTTCAGCTGCTTGCTACATCACGTTTGCATCACTAATTTTTGTGTTTGGTTTTGTGTAATGTGCTCACTGAATGAATTTTAACTGTATATGATATGGCGATCTCTAACTCAATATCTTTGTGGGTTGATCCTCTGGTTGAGCTTGAGATTTGCTGTTGTATTGATGTTTACATTTGACGCCATATCTTAATTCCATATTTGACCTGGATCTGTTTATATTAGGTTCATGCTGCTTCATTGATTCATGATGATTTGCCCTGCATGGATGATGACACAACTCGACGAGGTCTTCCTGCAAATCACACAGTTTTCGGTGTAGATATGGCAATTTTAGCCGGGGATGCCTTGTTCCCTCTTGGTTTCCAGCATATTGTGGCCCATACTCCAAGTGATCTAGTTCCCGAGGATCGAGTCCTCAGGGTCATTACAGAGATTGCTCGAGCTGTGGGGTCCACTGGCATGGCTGCTGGCCAGTTCCTTGACCTTGAGGGTGGACCAAATGCTATTGATTTTGTTCAAGAGAAGAAATATGGTGAAATGGGTGAGTGCTCTGCCGTTTGTGGAGCTCTCTTGGCTGGTGCTTCAGATGAGGAGATCCAACACATGAGAAAATATGGTCGAGCTGTTGGTGTCTTATATCGGGTTGTTGACGATATATTGGACGCAAAGAAGACAGAGGACAAAACCGAGGGGAAGAAAAAGAAAGGCAAAAGCTATGTCAGCGTTTATGGCATTGAGAAGGCTGTGAAAGTTGCTGAGGATCTTAGAGCGCAGGCTAAGAGAGAGTTAGATGGTCTCGAGAAATACGGCGATAAAGTCATACCACTTTACAGTTTTCTTGATTATGCTGCAGATAGAGGTTTTAGCATTGACGACCAAGTCTAGATCAATATTTAGCATTGTTGTCTTGTGTTTCATCATGAACTATTTAACTTTGTTGTATGGAGAGGTCTTGTTAATGAAGCTATAATTTCTATATCCCCAGCTAAATACTGTCACACCTCTTTATAGCATTGACGTTTTGTCCGGATATATTTTGGCTGCTATAGAGAAATGTAATATTAAAGTCGGTCCAATGAAATGTTGGCTCCTTCATGTCCATTGATCTAGGATTGATATTACTAGGAAGTTTCCAATCGGATTCATGAAGCAATGAACCTAAAACGAAGTGCAACATTCGATTACCTAAAGGAAGGCCTACACACATCCTCCTGCCAGCACCAAATGGTAAGAACTCAAAACATTGTCCTTTGAAATCAGATTTCGAGTTAAGGAACCTCTCGGGCTTGAAATCCAAAGGGTCGTCCCAGCTTTCAGGATCTCTTCCAATTGCCCAAACGTTAACCAACACTTGAGTGATTTCTGGTATATCATACCCCATGAAGTTAGTGTAGTGCATTGCTCTTCTTGGAAATAAGATAGGAAGGGGAGGATGTAATCTTAATGCTTCTTTAACCACAGCTTGCGTGTATGGTAGATTGTCAATGTCACTTTCTTCAAACTTCTTGTTTGGTCCTATAATTTCAAAGATCTCTGCTTTTACTCTTGCCATTGCTTCAAGGTGGCACAGGAGCTCTGTCAGCGTCCATTCCACGCTGGTGCTAGTAGTGGAATAACATAAAACTAAAATTTTAATGACTTAGGTAAACAATGTAATTTTCAGACGAAGGAGTGTCATTTGACACCCCTTAGCATAAGGTGGCTCCGCCACTATCTCTCTATCACAAAACATTAGGGTTTAGGTTGTGATATAAGTAGTTGCTCCAACATAACATGACATCCGCCACCTACCAACCCCTCTATAATCGCGATGTGTTCTAGTCTTCCGCTACAAGAAGCTTTTATAGTCATACAAATGATGCAATAAGTTTAATAAGACACAAATATTAAGTCTTTTATTTTTTTCCTTTGACTTTATGTTAAGTTAAAATATGTCACATGAATTGAAATGAAGAAATTACGGGGTAAATTATTTTAAAAAACTGAATTAGCTGCAATTTTTTAAGGTATTAAATAATAGAACTTGATCTGGCCATGAAATTAGTTTGAGATTGACTCACATTACAAAGTCATAATCATCTGTTAATTTCTACGGTTTCTCTTTTATCTAATACTTCTTCGCCCTCAAAATAAGTATCGTTTTAGATTTTTTACACCTATTAAAAAAATAAATAAATACAATATATATATTATTTATTAAATTGTGCTTATTTATTATATGTTTCTTCAGAATTGAACACTATTATTAATAATAGTAGTATATTAAGCATTTTGTGTTCACCTAAGATTCCAAAAAGACGAAGACTTCAAAGTAGTATGATATAAGCAATTTATAAAATCAATAGCAAATTTATATTTCTTTCTATTCTTATTTTATATGTTTGTTGTCACGATCCAAATTAGGGAATCGTGATCAACACCTGATTTTATTTTTTTTGGGCATATTCACTCACATGTAGACCTATATTTGTTTTTGTTAAGAGTAACCATGTGGTTTTTTTTATTTTTTATTTTTGTAATTAGTTACAGTATAATTCAAGCAAGATTTGCCTGCTCTAATATTACATTGAATTGCGTGATATTTTTAACTAAAATGTTCACAGTTTCTAGAGAGTTGATTTTGTTGATAAGTGTGTTGCATGTGTATGTCAAGTCATACAAAATACGTTATCATAAAATAATATTAAAAGTATTAAAACAAATATGTGAGTTAATAATTATACATCAAAGAAAAAAATATAAAATTTATGTAAATGTTTAATGTGGATCGCCATATTATCACTTAATTATTCACGTCATATTGTGGAGAGTTGATGTTGGCCTTCTAAATTGTAGTAGTAGTATATAGAGGGCGGGTCAAACATGACTTGACAAGCTTCTGAAGATGAGGTGCACATGACATCTTAGGTGAATCTCACATCAAAATGAGAGAAAAGTGAAGAGCTTTATAAGACATAGCTCAAGGTCACATGATGTTACACATACTTTTGGACTCAAGTAGCCCAAAAGACAAATACGTGAAGTCTATTAGGCCAAACCGTACAGTACGTGTCATGTACTTGGGTCGTTATAGTAGTTTTGTATGCTTTCGTGTAACTCTCTCGTAGTTTGCTTAGATTCGAGTACCTGACTAGTTGGTTGATGATTCGTCCATACATTTAACAGAGGCGAATCTAGGATCTGAAAGCTTACCGAGGCAAATATTCCAACTCTAAGCTTAAGATAACTCAAATGCATAAACAGAACTAATATCTCAGCTTTTTATTACAAGAAAATTCACAAGAAAGTCGAATCTCATGTTCTCTGTGGCTTCATTTCACAGCATCAAAGGACAACCTTAAAGCGATTTCGATTTAACCAGATGTTTTTGTTGGTACTGCTGTCAAAGGATTGAATTTTCTCACTGTCATTCCCATCCTCTCTTTCATGTCCATTGATATAGGAGTGACATTACTAGGAAGCTCCCAATCGAATTCATGAAGCAACGAGCCTAAAACAAAGTGTAACATTCGATTACCTAAAGGAAGGCCTACACACATCCTCCTGCCAGCACCAAATGGTAAGAACTCGTAACACTGTCCTTTGAAGTCAGTCTTCGAGTTAAGGAACCTCTCGGGCTTGAAATCCAAAGGGTCGTCCCAGTATTCAGGATCTCTTCCAATTGCCCAAACGTTCACGAACACTTGAGTGTCTTCTGGTATGTCATACCCCATGAAGTTAGTGTCGTGCATCGCTCTTCTTGGCACTAAGAAAGGAAGTGGAGGATGTAATCTTAGCACTTCTTTAACCACAGCTTGCATATAGGGCAGATTGTCAATGTCACTTTCTTCAAACTTCTTGTTTTGTCCTACAATTTGAAAGATCTCTGCTTTTACTCTTGCCATTGCTTCAGGGTGGCGTAGGAGCTCTGTCAACGTCCATTCCACACTGCTGCTAGTCGTCTCTGATCCGGCTAAAAACATCTCCTGCATTTCATATCTAATCAAGACTCATCTCAAGTAAACTATGTACATTAGCATTCTTGATATCAACACCGTCTTAATTACTTCCTCTGTTTCAATTGGTCTGTCTTACTTTCCTTTTTAGTCTGTTTGAAAAAGAATATCTCTTTCCACATGACATGTTTAAGACCACAAGATTCAAAAGTCTCATTTACTTTCTTAAATCTCGTGCCAAGTCAAAATCAGACAAGCAAATTGAAACAGAAGGAGTAGCTTGTTTGGGACTGGAGCGTAAAGATAAGTTGTATGTGCATTAAGACTTACCAATATGAATATGGTGATCTGATGTTCTGATAACTTAGCTGGTTCATCTTTCCCACTACCCTCAAATTCAAGCAACACATCTAAAAAATCTTTCTTCTTTTCTTCACCATCTTCGCGCTCCTTCATCTGTTCCTTGACAAACGTAGAGGCAATGTCAAGAGCTATTCCCATTTCGCGATGCATCTTCTTCTTCAAACCTTGTAAATCGAACCTCCTAAGACGTGGAAAAATGTCTGAGATATTTGGAGTGCCTGACAAAATCATGATCCTCATCATGGCATTGAAGAACTCGGAAGCTTTCTTTGATCCTGGATTGACTAAATCACGCGAAAACATCAAATTCCCTAGCATATTAAACGTTGAGAGGAACACAAATCGCGTTACCTCAATCCCACTTCCCTTGACTTCCACTGAATTCACTTCTTTCTCAATCCAATGAATCATGTCATCAACACATTTCCTCCTGATATCCACTGTTTCATTGATCCGTTTGTGCACGAACATTTCAACGGTGCATATCCTTCTTAGCACGCGCCAATATGTGCCATACCGGGCTATAGCTAATGACCCTAGGTTGTAGTCATGAACCAACATGGTGTCAATGATTTTGCGCTCCGCGAAGGCGAAATCATGGTTCTTGAAAAACTCTGTAGCTGTGTTGGCTGATAAAATTGACATGGTCTTGACAGAGCCAATTTTGAACCATACAACAGGGCCATATTTTTGTTTAAATTCTGCAATTGTTTGATATGGTAATGTTCCAAGATCAAACATGTTGCCAAAAATTGGGAAACCAGGTGGTCCTGGTGGTAACTTGTAAGAAGAAGAATTTCTTTTGAAAAATACTATGATTAGAGTTGTTGGTACTATGATGATTATAGACCAAACAACATAGTTCCACTCCCATTCCATTTTTTCCTCAAATTTTCAAGTTGTTTTTTTGGTGTGTTGCTTCAAGATGCCATTTATTTATAGTAGTAATTACCCTCTATGTTGCTTGGATCGTCTAAAAATGTTGCTGCATTCGTGTCAGATATTGCAAAAGATGAGTATTACTTTTGGAAGATCTGATATACATCTGTTGGCATATATGAAGAGTCTGAGCAACATAGATCACACATGACACTAATTTTTCTTATATAAGTATAACTTCAATGATTATGGTGCTCTAATTAAAAGCCTTTGAGGGTATTTTTTAGTAATTACCCTCTATGTTGCTTGGATTGTCCAAAAATGTTGTATTCGTGTTGGATCTTGCAGAAGATGCATGACTTTTGAAGGGTTTGATATGTATCCGTCGACATATTTGAAGAGTTTGATCAGCAGCATATAGATCACCGATGGCACTAATTTCTCCTATATAAGTAAAACTACAATAGATGAATAGGATATACGACGTAAAGATCTCTCATTCCACTCCCTCTCTTTACCACAAGTCATTAAGGTTTAGATTGTGATATAGATAGTAGTTGCTCCGACATACATTACAATAAATAAAGGATTTAGTGACAATAATATAATTATCGTTTTATGAATATTTATAATCAGTATAAATTTTAGCACATAAATTTATACTCCGCATTAAAAGTAGAACTCAATATTATCACACTAGTAAGCTTTTATACATATAGTCATACAAATGATATAACATGTTTTAAGATGATAAGTTTCAAAAATCTTTTCATTTTTTTAAAACTTTGTATTAAATTAAAATCTCACATAGAATAAATTAAAACAGAAAAATTAGAATGTACTGAACGTGCTGCCATTTGCCAACTTCGAGATATTCATTGATTATAATAATAGGATTTTCTTTATAAAAAACAAAGGTGTATAATATTATTAGATGCAATCTTAATTTTTTAAATAGCTTTTAAACTGAATTAGCTGCAACTTTTTTAAGGTATTAAACATAGAACTTGATCTGCCCATGTTAGATGAGATTGGCTCACATTACAAAGTTTATCATTAGTTAATTTTAATGATTTTCTCTTTTGTCTAATAATTAGCATAATACTTGTACATTTAAGAGTACATGTTTTGATAAGTATTTACCCCAGTGGCGGAGCCAAGATTTTCAAAATCTAAAAAAATAGACACACGAAGTAGTCGAAGGGGGTTCGACATATACTATATATACCTAAAAAATTATTTTAACCATGTATAAATCATATAATTTTTCGCCGAAGGAAATTCGGATGAACCCCTAATTGAAGGTGGCTCCGACACTGCCCCCAATGAGTGTTTACATTTAAAGAAAGGTCAACGCATATATCCTTCTCCCCGCGTCATATAGAATCAACTCGTAGTTACTCTAGTCTCCTTAATTTAATTCAACTCATTTATGATGTAGTATTATAAAATTAAACAAGTAGATATATACATGTATCGTACGTGGTATAATATATATATAAGACACATAATTGACATGTAGACGTCACATAAGATGTGTCTATTTGTTCAATTTTATACAAATTCAAGTGTCTATTTATATACGAATGTGGTTTAATTTCGATCCTTCCGATGATGCCAGAAGTCGTTTTGATATAAGATTTTATCTTGTTTTCATTTTATTTATTATTTTTTATCCGAAAGTAACCTTTTCCTTTCCTTGAATCCAAAGTTAAAAAACATAGACATATATCAATTGAGGTCAAATTAAAAAAGAATGTTTATATCTTATGCGATCTTATAAATAATTGGCACAAAATCATTAATAGATGACAATCTAAATGACGTCTAAATAATTGGCACAGAAAGATCACTTAGAAAAGTAAGCCCTTTCTTATTATATGATATCTTCGACACACATATATATATAATAAATAAGTTACCTATCTATACAATATAGTTTTCTAACGAAGGGGTGTTAACAGTGGCGAATCTAGAATTTCTGTGGAGGGGATTCGAAATATAAAGAAGTAAACATGTGAAAATTACAAGATGAAAAACTGAGCGAGATAGAAGGAAACTAGTAATCTGAATCTAATAAGTTTAACTTGCCTTGTCATGCTGCGTTTATTTTTTTTTTACTTTTACCCTATTCCATCGAGCTTTTTAAAAAAATATTTCTTGTGATTTTTTTCTCTTTTATATTGCAGTGTTCTACTCTATTTTTTGATTTTTTTTTTAAAAAATTCAACCACTAAGATATTATAATATATATTCATAAGATAAATAATTGACATTGTCGATTTTTTAGTTCATTTAATTCAATTTAATAGGTTAGTCATTCGTGAAAAAGACAAATGATGAATAGAACAAATAAGTTTAGTTTAGTTTTCATCTTTTTAAAATCGAACTGAAAAAAATAAGAAAGAAATACTATAAAATTAAGGGGGGAAATCAATTAATTAGATTTTACTAAAAGATTATTCACGACTTTTAAATTTGTAGTTTTAACTTTAATTTAATTTATTTTATATAATATTTTTTGTAAATCAATTTCAAATTTAATAATAATTCATCGTTAGTACATGGAAATAGACTTTTGTAGAAATAAAATGAGAAGTATAAATAAGAAGAATAAAAGACAAAATTATCTAAAATATGTCTAATAAATTTAAATAAAGATAAATTGAGAAAAAAAAATAGCATAGAGAGAGAAATAATGATAACAGAAATAATGGAGAACTTACATAAATATACTATAATAAAAAAATATTTACCATTTATAGCAATAACAATTTTTTTTCACTTGATCACTTTTAATACATTTATAATACAGTTTTAATACATATTACAAAGAATAATTTATTATTCACATATAATACAAGTTTTATTGATGGATAATACATTTATCACACATTTTAATACACTTATAATACAATGTGTCAACTTCTTACCAAACAAGCATAATATATTTTTAAAAACAGTTATAATACATATATATATTGCATACTTAATTCACTTTTAATACATATTGCAGATTTAACATATTATTGTTATATATTGCTATAAATGGTAATAAATGAAAAGTATCGTTAAAATCAGTAATTATTTATTAAAAGGTGTCCATCCAAGTAATTTTTTCAATAGTAATGAAGCTTTACATTGAATAAAAAACAATGAGGCATTTCATTGAGTTGGGATTTGAGCTCGAAACCAGAGCCCATTCAGCCCAAAAAAAAAAGGAAAAATTACGCGGTTAAGCAAACTTATACTACTTAATTACTCATCATAGCTATAGTTTGCTATAATTACCACTCACGACTAACATTATACATTAATTACGCGGGCTGACTTCGAGTTTATATAATTTGTCACGTTTGTATATGTATAATTCGCCAGAATATACAAATACATATGTATAAAATATACAATTATTTAACCTATATACATATACAATTCACCTCTCTTCCACTCTCTGCCCTCTCTCGCTCGCCTCTCTCCTCCCTCTCCCAACCTCGCTCGCCTCTCTCCTCCCTCTCCCAATCTCGCTTGCCATATATACAAATGCATATGTATAATATACAATTATCTAACCTATATACATATACAATTCACCTTTCTCCCACTCTTTGCCCCCTCTCTCTCACCTCTCTCCTCTCTCTCCCAGTCTCGCTTGCCTCTCTCCTCCATATAACATGTAGCTACGAATTGTAATTATCAAACTATAGCTATGGAGAGTAATTACCCTATTTTTGAATGGCTATATGTGAAAGTTCCCCAAAAAAAAAAGAAAAAAAAAAGGAGCCCATTCAGCCTTCTAAAACCAATGAAATGGAGTCTGATTTGAGCCCAAAACAAGAGCCCATTCAGCTTTCAAAGCAAAAAAAAAAAAACAAATGGGAAAATATTGCAAGCCAGAATCGAACCCAAAGCATTTCGATCAAAGTTGAACCCATTAGCCGCTGAGCCATGCTTCTCTTTTATTGAAGGGCTTCATTTTAATATATATACTCATAAAATCAAAAATAAACCTTATATATACAGTAAAAATTTTCGACGAGGGGTTCAGATGAACCCCTGACCTCCACGTGGGTCCGCTCCTGGGTGTCAAGAGTGCATGTTTGTTCTCCTAGAGACCTTTGCCTTCTATGAACTATGACAAATTAAGAAATAACTTAATTGGGAAAGTTAATTATTTTCATGGACTAATCATACATTGAAGTACTGAATATAAGACATATATATATATATATATATATATTTGTTAACCATGGTTAAGCGATATATGTATCGTCAATTAAAATTTCAAGTCTTGAGATTAGATTACTTAATTTGACACAAACATTTAATGTAGATAAATATTATTTTTTTTCTGTCGTAGTTGTTTTATATCATTTTCAAATGAATTAACAATAATAAAGTTTTCAACCTATTGCTTAATTGATATTTATAATACAGTAATAATAAGAAATAAAGAAACAGAATATATTAAATGGACGGTGGGTGCTGTATATTTTAGCGATATTATAATATTACTATTTTTGTTCTTGTTACCTAGTAATGACCAAATTATTATATTTTTTCATAAGTTGACAAACAAAAATAAAATAAAATAAAAATGTTCATTTTTCTAAATGACAGGTATTGTAATAATTAAATATACCAATTATATATTCTTCCAGCTTTGAAAATATCTCATAGGACTATATTTTGTGTTTTTTTTAATTGCAAAATATAAATTATTAACCATGTGGAAGGACAGGATTGTATTTAATTGTTTTCTTTAATTGAAAAAAGTAAACGTGGATCTTATAAGATTTTAATAGTAATTGAAATAATTTAAGATAATTTAAATTACATACACTGACCATATGATTTTTTTTAAACTTGCAATTTATATGTAATACCAATTACATGACTTGATTGTTTTGATATTTTTTTTTTAAAAAATAAATCTTGTGGAGCTAGAATTTCACTAAGGAGATTTAAAATATAAAGAAGTAAACACATGAAAAAGTCGACTGAATTCAACATTTACTATATATACATGCACATAATACTAACTTTATATATACAATACAAATTTTCAACGCCTTGTACTCCTAGCTAACTCTGCTCCTGCCGTCAACGTATACAACTTAAACTCAATATTTTTATAATAGCTAGCATGTCTTCATATCCTTATTTAAGGGACCACACTACCATTGTTAAATACAAAAAATCAATCAATCAATCTTCTTCCTCAAATTCTTGAAAAAAATAAATATGGATTGGGAATTGAATTTTTACATACTTTGTTCTACTATAATCTTTTTATTAGCTTTTATCTTCATGATTTACCAAAAAAATCCTCTTTTTCTAAGTACAATTTACCTCCAGGACCATATGGATTACCAATTTTTGGTAACATGTTTGATCTTGCTGGATCAGAACCATACAAAAAAAATTGCAAGTTTAAAAGACAAATATGGCCCTATTTTGTGGCTAAAAATTGGTCCCTTAATGAACACAATGGTAATTCAAACAGCAAATTCATCAAGTGAATTATTCAAGAATCATGATGTTACATTTTCAGACAGGAACATAGTTGATGTTAATTTAGCACATAATTTCTATAAAGGGTCAATGGCTTTAGCTCCCTATGGTAATTATTGGCGATTTTCAAGGCGAATTTGTACCATGGAAATGTTTGTACATAAAAGGATAAACGAGACAACACTCATTAGAAAAGAATCGATGAATAAAATGCTTGGATGGATTGAGAAAAAGGCGACCTCGGGAGGAGGGGTACTAGAGGGGATTGAGGTGACACGTTATGTGTTTCTAGCATCGTTTAATATGTTAGGTAACTTGATTTTGTCTAAGGACTTAGTGACGGATCCAGAATCTGAACAAGGGTCAATGTTTTTTAACGCGATGATAGGGATCATGGAATGGTCCGGCGTTCCGAATATTTCGGATATTTTTCCATGTCTAAAAATGTTTGATATACAAGGTTTAAGAAAAAAAATGAAACGTGATATGGGAAAAGCTATAGAAATTACTAAGAAATTTATTGAAGAACGTATCGAAGAAAGAAAAAAAGGTGAAGAAAATAAATCAATTAAAGATTTATTGGATGTTTTGCTTGATTTTGAAGGAAGTGGAAAAGATGAACCAGCTAAATTATCAGAACATGAAATCACAATTATTATATTGGTAACTTCTTTACTCTCCTCGTCTCAAATTATCTATCGTGATTTCTAATTATTTTTTTTAAAGAGAGATATTTTTGCCGTTCAATTGTTTTATGATGTGATATATAGTTAATCCCGAGATTTTGCCTAGGTCCTAAATTTTATTCTCTCTGTTCTACTTTATGTGATATGATTTGGCCTGCAAAGGTCATATATTGACTAATTTTTAGTGTGAACTTAAACGTACGATCTTCAATTTTTTTTCTAAATAAAATATACATATATAAAACAAGTACTTTATAGTACAATAATGAACAATTCAAAATATTCAAAAGTAGTAAAATATATATGGTTAAAAATGTTATTTGGCTCTCAAAATAACAAGTGTCACATAATATGAAACAAAAGGTGTAGTACTTTATCTTGAAAGAATTTGACTTATATACACACGAGTATAAAGAATTTTACATAATTATATTATTTTTATTTGTTGTAACATGTAACTTAATAACCTCATTTTCAATATTACAAATCTCATTTTTTATAGAGAATTTCCTATACATATTTATCAGGTTGTGATGTAATAGTATAAAAATTCTTTAGACTGACGATGTATACAAGTTAAACTCGTTTTGAAAATTTACTTTGCATATGAAATTTTCTAGGAAATGTTTCTGGCTGGAACAGAAACGACTAGCAGCAGTGTGGAGTGGGCATTGACTGAGCTATTGCGCCATCCACAAGCAATGACCAAAGTGAAATTAGAAATTTCACAAGTAATTGGTCCTAATAAAAAGTTCGAAGAGCGTGATATAGACAGTCTACCTTATATGCAAGCCATTCTCAAGGAATCGTTACGTTTACATCCTCCACTCCCTTTCTTAATTCCAAGAAAAGCAATTCAAGACACAAAGTTCATGGGGCACGACGTACCAAAAGGGACTCAAGTGCTTGTGAACGTCTGGGCAATTGGAAGAGATCCTGAATATTGGAACGACCCGTTTGAGTTCAAGCCTGAGAGGTTTCTTGAATCAAAAGTAGACGTTAAGGGGCAAAATCACGAGTTAATTCCATTTGGTGCTGGACGAAGGATGTGTGTTGGGCTTCCTTTAGGTCATTGTATGATGCATTTCACGTTTGGATCGTTGCTTCATGAATTCGATTGGGAGCTTCCTCATAATGTTTCTCCTAAGTCCATTAACATGGAGGAGAGTATGGGAATTACAGCAAGGAAAAAACAACCTTTGAAAGTGATACCAAAAAGAGCTTGATATTAGTTGTGTATTTATAAGTTCTTATGAATTAGTATTGGTTTGGTTGAAAGTCATTGAGATTGGTAGTCTCTTATATCAAATCATGTAAATTTATTAAGGTTTGAATGATTTAATGAGTTGAGAATGTATGTTAATTGATCATGATTAAGTGTTCAAAGTCTATGTACAAACACGTGTTATGTATTTATTGACTTGATATAAACACTAGATGTGAATATATACAATATAGAACTACTAGAGTTGAAGCAATATATCATACTACCCTTTGTTACCACCTTTTATACTGACAACCGATAAAATTTGAGTTTTTGAGTTTGAGCAAATTTGAAATTCTACTACTAAAATATATTATTTATATTTGCTTTGTGAATTTTTGAATTAAAGTTACTGAATTTAGATAAACTCACCACATGTATGCTACATCTGCCATGATGTTTGATGAAGTCCTACATGTGGAAGGAAAATAGTTTTCCAACACATTACTACGAAAATTACATTTTTATTATAACTTGTATTTAGGGACAAAATTTAAAGAGTTACCAAAAAAAAAAAGAGACTATATTGTGCAAATGATCCAATACCATAGCTATTGATCACATTGTGACTGAAATTTTTTATTTTTACCTAAATAAAAGTTTGGTTTATATGATTTGTATTAAACTATCCAAATGGACCAAAAATGTTTCTAATGGGCTAATGTTTCTCAAATATTTGAAATATCTTCATAAAACTACTTGTATGAACTCATATGTACTTATCTAGTACAGTAGTATGTATATATATATCTGTATATAATAAATGTATAATTAATGACATCTCAAAATTAATAAAAAACACCACATACATTGAATCATGCTCAAAAGGATACATTACAATTTGAACTACAACTTTTTATGTACAAACATGGTATAGCCTTTAATGGAATTGCCTTCTTCAAAGTCATCCCCATTCTTTCATTCATGTCCAAATCTTCTGGCTTTAATCCATTAGCTAAAACCCAATCAAATTTGTGTAGAACTGACCCTAAAGTAATTGGTAACATACAAGAAGCAAGGGGAACTGCATATGTTATTTATTGAGTTTCAGTTATCATATTACTTTGTTGTTACTAATCTTTTTTTCTGAATGTTTTGTACTACTTTTTTTATTAATTAACACGTTTTCTTTATTGTCGTATTTATTTCATCACTACTTTGATTTGTTACATTTGAGCCAGAGATGTTTCGAAATGTTGTTAATAAGTCCCACATCGGTAGAGGGATGAGAATTTGGTCTCCTTATATGGACTTGGACAAACCTCCCCTTATGAGCTAGCTTTTGGGATTGAGTTAGGCCTAGGTGCCATATTTTAACATGGTATCAGAGCCAGACCCATTCCAATTTGTTGTTCACCGATGGTGGGCCCCCATTTAGAAATGTTCACGCTCCAGTTGAGGTCTGGGCACGCCGGGCAGTATTAAAAAGTCCCACATCGGTAGGTTGATGGGAATTTAGTCTCCTTATATGGACTTGGACAAACCTCCCTCATGAGCTAGCTTTTGAGGTTGAGTTAGACCTAGGTGTCATATTTTAACAAATGTCTCTCCACTTTACGAGGTAGAGATAAAGTCTACATACATTTTATTTTGCTTAAACTCATTGATGAGATTACATTGAACATGTTATTGTTGTTGTATACACAATGTAACAAATATGATATTCTCATAGATTATGTAGCAGACCGGTTCGACCCGGTTCTGTAATTATAAAATTATTTATCATGTTCTTTTTCATATCTCTTGTATTTTTTTGTTTATCCTTTTGTATGTTTTATATATTAATTTCTTCAACTTGTTTATTTGTATAAATCTTTTAATTTATTTTAAAAATTATTATTGCTCTGTTTTTTCATATTGTTTTGTCTAGCTTTCTATAGTTTGTCAATTTTCCACTTCTGCCATTCTACTCTCTTTGCATTCCACTTGTGCGCTACTACAAAAAATACTATTTTCCCATTGATTTGTCACTAAAATATGTTCGATGGTTAACCCCTTCTCCCCACGCACGCACGCACGCACACACACTTCAATATTTCAGTGATAATCTATTTCCTACCACACGTTTTCCTAGTGAGCTGATTCGGTGAAAAACGAATAGAAAAAATCATATTTTATAACATAAATTTTTTATTAATGTTAAAGTAGAAGGAAACTGACGATTGAACATGTCAAAAGAACATGTCCAACAAAGCTGACTGACGTGTCTACAATGAAGTGTTGAAGATGAAGGAAGCTGATGATTGGAACATGTCAAAGGAACAGGTCCAACGAAGCTAACTGACAAGTTTACTGCACTACTATAGAATTAGACTAATTATATTTATTAGGATTATATTTCGTCTGGATTTATATTATGATTAGGATTATAGTACAACTAGGATTAGATTATTTATAATTGAATTATTATTATTATTATTGTAGTAGTAGTAATAGGTATTGTAGTAGGACTCTAAGTATAGTTAACTTAGGACTCTACAATTCTCTCATATATAAGGAGATTGTAACTCAACATTATTTTTATCAATACAATCCTTGATTTCTCTAATCCTAGACGTGAGATTTCTACATGGTATCAGAGCATAAAAGCTTTTCTGCACTCTGAGTATTGATAAAAAAAACACGTTGCAATGACCACTTCTACCAAAAATATGTCGACCTCCTTACTTCACCAACTCATTGTCGCTTGCTTCATTAAACTTAAGCCAGCAAACTACCTCATATAGAGGACACAAATATCCCAATTGATTAATGTGATGAAACTAACGTATTTCCAATACTGCTGAAACTAATGTTTGTTGGTGAGGGCTATACACAGTATTGTGAAACATCTGGTGCATTAGGTTATGGACTAAATCACATAGTTTATTGGAAAAGATCTAAGAATGACATGGCCTATTCTACCAGCATTGTTGACAACACAAACAGTTGTGATTGTAACTCTTCAGAGATGGGGAACGGATGCTTAGTTATTCAAGATGTCAATGTTGTTATTCTTCACAATTTGGCTGTCCTTGAGGCAAACTGGCTCAATTGGTTGGTAGATCAAATGCACAGAGGTATTGCCTTGGCAATTGGAGTTTCTGGACAGGACTTCATTTGGGATGCTAACTTGGATAGAGACAACAATGACAACAATATGATCTTTGTGCTACTTTACTTAATACTTGAGGGCAAGGTTCTTTTTGAGGAATAAAGTAATGTTACGAATCTAGCCACGATGCATGACCTAATTGATATACTGTTAAATTACATTTAGGACCTGGGTTAAAGGAATGAGCCTATGCACAAAGGATGAACTATCTCATTAGGGTTATGCTATGAGTTATGTTATTTTATTTTAATTAGCTATTTTGTAATAGCACTCTGGAATCTCTCTTTTCTATTTTTCTTTTGTTCTTCGATCGTTTTATGATCAATACGAACCTTAGTTTGTTATAGTACACTCCTGATTGAAAATAAAAGGAGGTAAGATTATGATTATTATTGTAGAAATTTGATTTGTGTCTCATTCTATAAAGAATGAACTGCAAGTGGAACATAGAAGTAACTAATGTATTGTAGAAAATCAAAAGGAAAGTTCTCGTCTAATCACTAAAATGGAATCACGTCGAAAAAAGTATGAATATGTACTTGAATCTTGTCTAATCTTAAACTATGAGTAAGTACTTGGTAAGTAAAGATTTTATTTACTAAATGAACTTTACAAATCAGAAAAAACTAGCAGTGGACATCCCCTAAATCTATCAACCACTTTTTGTCTAAATATCTCTTATACTAGCTTTTCACTATTAATTAAGGATAGTAGTTCAAGTTTGCCAAATGACTATGTAATCTATTCTATATTATTGCGTCTTCACCAACATTGGTTGTGCTATTTTATGCATTGGTTGTACTATTTTATGCCTGAGGTAAGGTTCTGTCAAGTTAGCCTCTAAAATCTGATCTTATTGGCAGTCCAATTTTCCAACCTTTTCAGCAAATTGAGTATATCATCAAGCAATTCTAATCTTATAAATTTCTTCTAACTAATGGGGTCCAAGTGTTGCTTGTTCTTTAGTGGAGTAACGTTCATAAATAAGATCAATGTATGCATTAGATTGAGGTTCTTTAACTTGTAAAGATTTATAATTCACCTTCATGCACTAGGTAGTTCCAAGATATAACTGAATTGAATTTCACATGTTGGATAAAAAATATGTTAGTTAACTCCTGTGATTTTTTCCAATTATCCCACCGAATACCAAAATGTTAAAAATGAAGATAAATATATAACTTTTGAATTAAATGTATGATTCTTACAGATTTGTTCTTACCGTTTGTTTAGATCTTTTTAATGCTTTTCTAAGGATGGATAAGGGTTACATATGTGCATTTGATAATATGTATTAATGTGCACGTATTCTATCAAAACCTTATAGTCCCTACTCATTGTTTTTTCTCCGATAAGTATATTAGTTATTGTTCACGTGCTTTTTTAGAGGCTTTAATTTTTTGTTACATCTTTTATAGTTAATATTTTGAGATCCTACGTGTTTTTTTTGAACTATTAATACTTTGTTATTAAACTAACACTTTTATTTTACAAGGATTTTATTAGGATCAAAGTTCAATTTAATACAAATTAACGAATGTAACTTCGATCGTTAAAAATACTTGTAGTGGTTAGATGTTAGGTGCAACTAATGTTTTTAAAGACCATATTTATAAATTAGCGTAGGGAAAATCCTATCGCCACTAAATGACATATAACCACAAGATTTCATGTTGTCGTTAATTTTTTTTTTTAACGACCGGATAGAAAGTCGTCGCTAAACTTTATACGTCTAAGCCTTTAACGACGGGCGACGACCGGATTTATTCTTGTCATTAATGACCTTTAACGATCATATTTTACTTTTAACGACCAAATGTCCCCTCGCTAAAGGTTATTTTTCTTATAGTGGCCATTGTTGTTACGAAGGTATCAATTGTTTGTTTTTATAATGCGTATTATGTTCAATGTGATAGTGATTCTTCTAAAAGTGTATTTGATAATCTCCATTTTACTAGTTTCAGACATTTATTTTCATTTTTTTTTGACATTTTTGGACGTTTTGTAGTAATGCTTTTAGGGAT